GTAACTTGATTAAGAAGCACAATACGCACAAGAAGCATTATATAACTTATGGATATTGGAATTGTGTGTTATGTGTAATGTAAATACCTTCCTATTCAATCGAGTACTAATCTTTAAATTTTGAATTATTTAAAAATTCTCTCTTTTAAGCTGTAAACTTGAGATAATCACAGTTAGTCGATAACTTTGTTGCATTTTTAGAGTCTATAATATATTATAGAATATAATTAAAAATTTCTCATTATATATATATATATATACAGAGTACCTATCTTGCACATCTTGAATAACTTGTAAATTATGTATTGTGTGAAAAACTGTTATATACAATGCATAATTTACAAATTATTCAATAACATATTCTAAAATTATTAAACCATAATAGAAAAATTATAATATAAGCAGTTTAAGCAATATGAAACATATATGTGTGCGAATATGTGTCAAATTGCTTAAACTGATTGTATTATAACTTTCTCTATTATAATAATTTTAGAAAGAACAATATACAATAAATGTAAATTTAGACGTATAATAATAACAGCTCTCTCTAATATGTCTAACATTTCCTGCAAAATATATAGATAAATTTTAAGATAATTATCAGATACACTGAAAGCAAACCTGTTGTTAGCGCGGGCGTCCACTCTTGCTCACCAGTGGCGCCCCATAATAAGGTCAGACTCTTGTTCACCATAGCAGAGGGGGGATTTGCAACTTTGTCACCATTAGCTGCAGAAGAATTAGATCGCAGTGGTTTTCCTTTTGTATCTATAAAAACATAAGTTTTGTTATCTATTAAATCTTATAGTTCTACACATATCTTAAAAACGTTTCAATTTAACAGGATATTAAATACTAACAATCTTGAAATCCTGTTTGGGATGCTGATCTTGAAATTTGATTTGAATTGTTTGCCCCAATCTCCATCGGAGATCCACTTATAGTTGATGGAGTAGTCTCACTTTGTGATTCTGAACATGTTTGCGTTGGAACAGCTTGATAATGATGTTGTTGTATCAGTACTCCTGTTGGTCCTGAAATTATATATCAATAAAATCTTAGTTGATTTTTAAACAAATTTATAAAATTGTAATCTATTGTAATATATATATATATATATATACACACACACGTTTGTCATCAAAGCAATGTAAACAAATTAATTACATTTAAAGAAATAAGTTTGATTGGCATAAAACAAAATTATATACCTTTCGGAAATATGTGAGTCCACCTCCGTCTATTACTGGTAAGCTTAATGGTAACATGTGATGGATCAAAAGGGTTGATTAGTGCTCTACTAGGTCTGAGTATATTTGTTGGTTGAGAAATTGAATTTGTTGGACTACCAGCACTACCAACAACCGGTCTAAAGGGCGGAGATATCTCGGAATCAGTTAAATCGCTCTTAACTGGTGTCCTGGATACGCCTAATACAGTTATCATGGTTATTTAATTAAAATTATAGTTTATTGCCAAAATTATTATCATATATATGTATATTAGTATGCTTACCATTTTTATCCTCATTAGATTCACTATTATTGTCATCCGTTTTATGCGGTATCGTTATTGCTGCACTTCGTAATGCAACTGGTGGTGAATGCGTCTCAGGTGGAGGATGATGTATATCAGGATCTGACATTTTACGTTTCAGGAGTTTCAACAAATGACCATTGTTGTGTGTTTCAAGGCATGCCACACTTGTCTTTTTCGTTCTTGTATTTATCCTTTGTACACTATAAGAAATAACAATAAAATAAATAAACTTGTATAATCATTTGATAAAATTTAGTAAGATAATAAAAGATTATTAAATTAATTATTATAATACAGGAAAAAATATTCAATTGATATATTGTTTATAATGTAGGGTTAAAAAAAAGCTATTTACTGTTTATTTACCTTGAAGTATGAACAGTTGGTAATTGGAACACTTGTGCATCATAAGCATCATAATCGAATAAGGTATTATGCAGGCATTCTCTTGGATCTTCTTGCAGAAGTCTGGCTTTGCAGTGCAATCTTTCATTATCCATTGGATGCTTTGATACTTTTTGTGGCAGTTTTATTCGTGGTATAAATGTAGAATTGGGAATCTTCTTGTTTGTGGAATAGAAACTGAGATTTATCCAATGAGGCATACTATAATCATCTGGTGCATTTGTGGAAGAATCTTTATTATGAAACTAAAATCAAATATTTTACTCATTACTTTAGTATATAATAAATTACATATATGAATCTGTATATTTACCTTTAATAAAGGAACTGCATGTAGTGGTTGTTCCCCCACGCATACCAAGTCACTGCCTACACCATTGTCAATGATCCTTTGCTTTGTTACATTTGTCAGCTCTCTGTCAACCTCAAACACTCCAACTCCAGGTGTAATTACTACAGATAACTGACCAGTTCTATCAAAACTACGATCTAAATAGTGTTTCTCAAAAACTGCAAAAATATATACATAATGGTAAGAAACCAAATGGATAAGTTACATAATTTTTTCATCATTTCCCCTTTATATATTTAATACTCACCATTTAGAGACATATTTAACACTTCTAGAAAATTGCCTTGCGCAGCAGTAGAATTTATTGCCTTAGGCATATTAATATTTGGCTTTTGATGATATTCCAAAACAATCTTTTGATAGTCAGTGAATAATTTACGCAATTGCACTAGGATATTACTCCAATCCTCAAACCTTTCATTTTGCACTGCAACCCTGTAAAAATCTTCATAGAATCTTCCTCTATAATCATGTTGCAAACACTCTCTCATGTTATTTGGAAATTCTTCCAAACTAGTTGCATTATAGAATGTTCTCGAGAAGAGTACAATTGTAACTTCATGATTGCTGCCATTTTTCTTCCATTTTTGAAACAAATCTGCTAAGAATCCATTTACTGCTTTCTCAAAATAAAGATCCCCATGTATATCAAAATCCCACATTTCGGAACTCATTTGAATAAACAGATATACCATACTTGTAGAAGATCGAAACACTACCTGAAAATCACATTTGCTTTTACAATAGAGCAATCAAAGCTTGATATCGTGAGTATTCACAGCTTTGGATATATACCTTAGTATCATCTGTTATGACACCACAAGCAACACGATCACCTTGCGACCACATTTCATATACTTGGCATCGTATACTACCACCACAGAACTCTATCTTCTTATTAAGATAAACACAAGTGTTTACCTGGAACATAAAACATTATGTATATCTCGTACACATTTATATAGATGTATCAAAAATATAAATTACAAATGTACTTCTTCTTTTATTTTTATGACAACAGGATGACAAGAATGATTCATCCATCAAGCCAAAACTGGTGACAAATTACAAATTTACAATGAAAAATATAATATATACCAAGCTGTTTTTCAGGCGCCACATCTCGCTGCGTCCCATGTACTGATCCTTAAAAGTCAATTCTATAGAATCTAGAGCCACATCGTCCGGATTTACTATGTTCATATATACATCGGCAAACGTTCTCAATTGAAACATTGTCGCTACGTTATTCTCCACGCTGATAGTCTCACGTCCCTGCAGATCCTCTTTGAAGGAGGTAACTTGCAGCAACAAGCGACTGAATTCATCCTCAGGATGATAGATCTCGACGACATCTCCGGTCTTTATACCAGGGTAGTCCTTCGGGTTAATTATCAGATCTTCTCCACTAAAATTCTTCTGATGTACTATTAATTTAAAGAGCTTCATACTTCATTCGGCATTCTGATCCTAGAATCACGTTAAAGGCTTCTGTGTTCTCATTTTAACTGTTCTAGATTATGACGTCAACAGCGAGAAATCATGTGTAAATTTTTTCTTGCGAACTAAATTATTTTCTTGTAATATCACTTGTGTATGTGTGCGTGTAAATGCTTCGAATCTTGTAATTCTTTGTCCCGATTGGTCGAACGAAGCATATCGAACATATGTAACGTCAAGTGAACTGTACTTTGTGTTTAGAGTGAGGGAGCAAGCGAAGGACAGAGAACGCGATGACGATATCACTCTGCGCATGCGCCAAAATTAAATTTTGAAACATGAAGTTGCATCGCATACTTCATTTGCTTCCGATACATCTTCATTACATTTTGGTGCTATTTCTGCATTTTTATCAGCGCTTGAAGAGAGAAAATACGGTATGAAATATTTACTTTTTAATTATCAATGGAATATTAATATTTTTGCAGATATTCTTTTTCAATTATGTTTCGATCGTAAATAAATACTTTCTTTCGCATACTCTCTCGATATACATATATATTGTAATCAACCTCAATCAAATTATAGTTATTGCTATATATATATAAAATTATTTATATAAACATCTCTTATTGTTGACAAACATTTTTATGTAATAATTTTGAGATCATTTATTTTTTTTCTTTCACAGAAATGTGATCTACTTATATAATCATTTTATACAATTGAGTTTTTTATTTGCTAATGTTATAAATTGATAATTTATCATATTCTTAAATGCATAATGATTCTTATTAAAACGATCTTTTACAGATGTTTACATATACATTTCTTGGATAATATAGCTTTTTTTCTTTATATAGATTGATAGAATATAAACCTATCTAAAATAATCTATTTTATAAATCATGCTGTGCAAAAGACAAATCGTTTAACGAAAACTTCGTTTATCTTTATTAAAACTTTCACACATTATGTTTTCTTTATATGTATATACATAATATTTCCTCATTAATGAAAAGATTTTCAGTTTCATTATGAGGAAAAGAATTCCCATTGTTTTGTAAAAATTCTAAAGTCTAAAGAAAAATCTAGAAATGTCTAGAGAATTATCCGATAGTACTAAAATATTAATGCTAGGTTATTATTTGCTCTCTATTCATTCTGGTCTCATCCGCTGTTATTGTCATCTCTCTTTCATTCAAACTGTTTGACAAACTGTTTTTATAGCATAGTTTCTGTTGTATATAAATAAAATTAATTTTTTTTGCTACTCAACAGAAAGCAGCCAATTCTAAGTACTTTTCTGTTAATGAGGAAATACTACATATGTATGTATGTGTTTGTGTGTATATGTATGTTTCCATGATCGAGTATTAAAATCGTTGATATAATCAATATCAGTATATTATAAATATATGTAATATTATCAATCTACGCATTGAAACAAGAATAATGAATACAAGATGCCGCATGTAAAATTGCCAATCGTCGGAAGGAATAGATTCGCCTTATCAATAGAATTACACATTTGTTATCGACAAGAGTTTAGGATTGGATGGCACTAATAAATCCGCGTAAAACTTCTAATTAGATACGCCGCTTTACGGAGCAGCTTCTAATCTTTTTATTTCTTTGGAAATCTCAATTTTTCGTGCCACCTTGTCAAGTATCTCCTTATCGGGATTTTTCAAAGCACCAGTTTTGATTTTTTCCTCTAATACTTCAATTTCTCTAATCTTTTTGCGCAAATTCTTTAATCTCTTTTGAGGATCAGTTGTCGTTTTCTGTGTAGTGTTTGAAATGTCCTTAACTATATTGTTTGTCGTAGTTTGTTTTGTGATGGATAATGGTTTATCATTATGAGTCGTGACTTCTTTATGAAATTCTGGCTCTGAGATCGATAGTTTAGATAATCCTTCGGTGACAGGTCCTTCGACCACTTTAGACTTGTTTTTCTTTTTCTTCTTTTTGGACCCTTCTTGAGGTTTTGATTGCAAACCAGGTATTATTTTATTCTTTCCTGCTAGAGCCTCTAACTTGGCTTTGTGCTCTGCTATAAATTCTGGACTAGCTCCCACTGGATACAGAGGCTTTTTTACCAATTGCTTTCCTTTGCTTTCATATCTATAAAAAAATAAAAATACAATAAAAAAATATAACAAAAACAAATAAAAATATATTATATAAGGTGTTAAAAAAAATGTTACGACACACGTACAATGGAACTTCCTCTTGTGGAATATATCCATCCTTTACACGCCGTTGCTTGCGCCATGTACCATCAGGTCGTTGACTTGCTGGGATAAATGTACCTAAAAGTAATTATATATCTTAATTGCAGTAATATCGTGAGTTATTAATTACAAGTTATTTAATACTAACATTAAAAATTGCGTATAAAAATAATTTAAATGCATTAAATAAAAAAAGTCTCCTAAGCTTAATATATTCACAAGTAGAAGAATCCTAATACGAGAATTATCTCTTAGAAGCGTCGCACAGTTTGAAACAATGTACAAATTTATCAAGATTATACAACTGTTGCGCGTAAAAAAGTACGATCTATTATTACACGAAACCGTCTATTTTTCACGCTTGTTTACATGTTTAAGGTTAGAATCCGGTGGCGAGGATCGAAGAGGTAAGTGCAATCGCGAATGCAATGAATAATTGAATGATCCTTACCAGTTTCGTCCTTGATATAAGTTGACGCCATCGCTGTGTCTTACAGAAGCGCACGCGTCCGCGAAAAAAATAAATAAATGTAAAAAATCTTCGACTATCCGCGTGCCATTCTGCGATTCTGTATTGCACGGAATAATCTCCAACGAGATCGGTGTGTCTGTGTATGTATATGTGAATTGTTGATCGCGGTCAACGTACTTTGTACAGATGTCGCGCGATATCGTTTACCATCAGCGCGTTTCGTAAATGTTACTTTTAATACCGCCAGATGTCGCTAGAAGTCTACTTGTGAGACGCTTCCCGCGCTTTTGTATAGGATGTCTATTATAATTCTACCTCAAAAGTAGGCGTTCCATTTCATTAATTAGACCGGATATCATGGAGATCGAATGTCGATGCGCTTGTTTTTGTTCACAAATTATGTAGAGGTACAGTTGATCCTTTCTTTTAACGAATTTTAATGAAAAACTCTAACTATTATATTTTATATATTTGACAAATATCTTTCAATGTATTTAAGGAGAAATGTAACCTTTCTTTTGCATGGAACTTGTAAGAAAACATGTTTGAATGTATAAAATTATTTAAAATATTTATCTTTTATAAAAATGTTCGTACGTATGAGACGATATTATTAATGAATAAATAATAAAATACGTGATATTAAAGATATATATTTATAAAGAAAAGTACAAAATATCTGTAAGATGGGCATCCAAGGGGAGGAAGACAAGAGAGGGTATTTACCCTCCCTTGGAATCAGTAAAAAAATTAAGCAACATTGGAATTTATTTGCATATTTAGTATAAAAAATAAAAATAACAAAATAAGGAAACTTAAGAAAGAATAAAAAGTAAGAAACACGAAAAATTTAATTTTTCCCTCTCTCTCGTGGAAAAAAATCCTGCGAACGTTCATGGTAAGATGTCTATTAGGAAAAGCATTAATTCAACATTATGCAACAAATTACTTTTTCTTTAAACAGTAAATACAACATATATGTCATGTAATAACCTTAATATATCATATACATATAGAAAAATATATTCTTTTTATACAATTAACTTTTACTATGCAACCTTTTATTATTATATCGAAAGGTTATTCTGAATATTAATTTTAAAGATCAATGATAAATATATAGATCAAAAACTTGTGTACAAATATATATATATATATATATATATATATATATATATATAAGTAAAGAATATTAAAATTATTTATCATGAGATATGAGAGTTTTCGAAATTTGTCTTCGATAAGTAATTCGAATCTGTACTTTTGCAGGAATAAAACACAAGGATTAAGAAGCCGGAAACGACCGGGCGAATATCTCGACATCGACTCGACGAGTACAAGCGGTCCCGAGGGTTACCCTTTTGATCTAGCCAGGCTGCGCTTCCGTGTGATTCCGGGGATGCTGCGCGCGCGCAGCAGAGGGTTGCGCTCCGTGGTCTCATCTCGCAGTTTCGCAGCCTCCCTTTCACGACCCGTGTCAGGTCTACCACGACTACGAACCGAAGGTGCGTGCCAGTAATTTCCCCGTAATTTAGTCGTCCCGGCTGTCCGGGACGAGGTACTCGGGCGTCCGATCGTTATTGCAGAGACTCCCTGGACCCGGTTTCTGGATCCGGTCGTCCCTCGTTCTCGTCCGGGTCGCAAAGCTCGAGATTCGGATGCATTCCGGAAAATGGAAACCGTAATCGGTACGTATATATGCCGCATCACGAATCTTTATCCAGTATTTTAGAGACGAATCCCTTGTCCCCTGGACGATAAATCGAAAGCGCGTAGATTCCATTAGATGTAGATTTAATTGTCCTGCTGCGTTTCTCCTTTGCACGTCGTTCTTAAAGGTCACCGGATGGATACGCGAAAAGATGGAATCTTTGTGGTGCGTTCGATAAAAGTTCAAAGGCTCTAAGGTCAGGAACAATATAACGGTTCGAGTTGAATAGTATTTTTTTCGGTTACGATGTGCTCGCATACAGGAAATCTTTTGACTTACGTAACTATATCGTTGAACGACACTCGGATTCGTCTAAATAAAGGTTCATAGCGGTCAATCGATGTAAATATATTTTTTGTTGCATTGTCAATTTAAATTTACATTAAACTTTGTTTTAATATATTTTAATGTCCGAAAGGTATGTGCAAAACGCGCGTCGAGACAAATTTGTAAATCTAAATTCGTAATTCAGATTTAAATTCTATTTTTTTATCTAATTTCACATTAAGTTTAAAACACTCGTTTACAATATTCTCGAACGGTAGAATACGATTTTGTTTTAAAAAATGCATAAACTATGAAGAATTTGACTAAAGAGGTAAGTTTATTAAATAAGTATTTCTCTCTCCTGAGAAATACATATAGATAATCAGGATAATATTTAGCGAAGCAAATGCATTTTCTTTTCTAAGAAATCCATAGATAATCAGGATAATATATTTATCGAAGTGAATACACTTTGAATGCTTGCGGCAGATTACAAGTCAAACAAAGTTCCTTCTATAGAGTTGCATCCTATTCCACTTTTGACAATCAAAATTTGTGCGAAAATGCTGTTCAAAACCTCCACTACGTTGCGACTATAATTATCAGAAAATAATAACTCTCGCACAATGGTATGATTACAATTACATATTATGTGTGTTACAATGTAATTTCTGTCCGCTAGATGATAATCTATTTATGATTTAATATTCTTGTGTCTCAATCTTTATATTATTAAATTTTGTGATTTTTTAGAACAGTTAAAAAAGTGAAGAGGCAAAGAAATACAAAAATGCAATGTCGATTTTTCAAAGCAATAATTTACTTTAAAAATGTAGAATCGTCGGGAAAGTAATATGAAATAGTATTTCAAAATAAATAGCGAGAAATGGGAGATTTAATATTTTAATGCATCAAGAAAATTAATAATAGAACAATATAACTTCAATAGCACATTTTCAATTATATTATACGCATATACTTGCACCCACCTACAGAGAAACGGAAAACAAGTGGGATCAGAGAGAAAGGAGAATCTCAATAGCTTTATGATATATTGTTCTATTATCATATTTGTCATTCCAATAAAAATTGTCATCTATCTAAAGTTGAAAATATACGAATACTATAAAATAGTACATAGATAAGAAGTGAAAAATTTGTACGCGAAGCGATTAATTTGCAATTAATTAATCGACACGATTAATCGAGACGAGATACCGGAAAAGCAATTGATATCTCGAAAATCGTCGCGAAAATTTACGATCTTTCTCACGCTTAACTGGACGCATCGTGATCATTCGAGAGTTAAGACAGGAGAATCTAGAAGAGAGTTGCCATGACGTGTTGAACGACTTCGCCCAAACTGCGGTCCTGGACCTTGCAGCCTCCTCCTTCTCCTTCCTCTCCTCTCCCTCCCCCTTCCTCCCCTCTTCCATTCCCCTTTTCATCGGACATTGCACCGATGCAGACGAGGCGTATGAGAAACGGCCGTTTCGCCAGAAGAGACGAGGTCGTCACTCGCGAGAAGAGAAGGCGGCTTATGACGATCCATCCAGACGAGAATCGCGCCTGCACCCGCCCCATTCTCCCATCTCTAGGACGCAATCTTTCTCGCGACACGACCAGCCCCGGCAAACTTACGTAACAACCATGGGCGTTCGCAGAGAGCGACGAGAGAGGCATTTGGCCCCTCTTGGAATCGGTAAAAACATTAAGCATTTGCTCTCCTTTGAATAAACCCCGGAATTTATTATACGCATAATCAATATTTAAACCAATAAAAATTAAACAAAATTAAATTTAAAACAATTAAGAAAGAACAAAAATAAAATAAATTTTAATCGTGCCCCCCTGGAAAAAATTCTGCGAACGCTCATGGTAATCCTTCGTTATCCAACTTTCGAGCAGGACGCGAAATCGTTTAACGAGTCTGATAAGAGATCTCAAGAACATTGAATAATATAGTCTCATATAATTTCTACATATTTTTTATGTATATGAATTACTCGATACATAGCGCGATAATTTCGTGTTATCGCTCGAGTCCTGATGAGCCGCGCGAAGAATAAGTACGCTTAACGCTAGATTGAACTTTATCCCTGATGCATACCTTGCCCCCGTTGCATAGAATGCCGCGATGCGCTGCATGCACTTTACGGCGCGCGAGAGACGCGACTCCGTCAAATAGGCCACGACGTGTATGCATATATATCGCACATGCACGGCGACATTATACGCGCCACACGGCGTATCGAGTACACATTGAATACGCTATCGCGATGGACGACCGCGACTTATTTGCACGAGCAATATCGTCGCCCGGGATTTTGCGTATGATGCATCGACTGACATAATGCACCAAGCAGATGCACTCCGGAATTTTAATTTAAGCTTGGTTATATACCTGCGCAAGGAGTCCCGAATCTTTGGCTTTTTTAAATTAATCAATTTTCTTGGAATTACAAATAGATTATTATATCGAAACTTATTTATCAAATGTTTGAAAATTCGGTGAAAAATTATGATTCAAGATTTGAAAGATTCTCCTGGTATGTGTGTGTAAAATCAGTCGAAAGATTATTCCGTTATTTAAACTCTCGAAAATGACTCGTGTGATCTAATTATACTCTTAAATTTATGCATTATAATTCACTCGGTGATTATGTAATACCTTCGACAGGATGCATATTTCATCATCTCGTATTAAAAAAAATAGCAGAAATATTTATATCTTTATTACATATCTTTTCACGCATATAAATATGTTTATTTATTTGTTTGCATAAATTGGAAAAATATATCGCACATCTCTCAACTTGAGATACATTAATTATAATGTCATTCAAAAGAATAATCTCTCTCTCTCTCTCTCTCTCTCTCTCTCTCTCTCTCTCTCAATTTTAATGCAAATTATTTTAATTAACTAAAAATAAAATGTTGCAGTGACACGTCAAGATCTGGCAGAAGAACGAAAATGAACTTCGTACATGAATAATATTTACGATGGCCATGCACAAATATCGATAAGGGAAACGAGAAAAAGGAAGCCAAGAAAATAACGGAAGATGATTTCGAGCGTAAATTTTTTTCAACATGATTTAAACGTATTTATCGAAAGAAAAATAAAAGAACAAAATCGCTAGAGAATGGCATTTTCGACAATGTAAAGAAAAGATTTGAACTTAAGAGATTTTATATCGCCTCTTTAGATGTTCTTATAACACGACGATTTGACGATATTTGTTACTTGAGGCAAAATACGAATGAGAATGCAACGATACGCCAGTCTGTCGTAAAAGCTTATCATCGAGATGAAACGACGTGCCTGAGCAATTGTACGTATACATACATACATGTATAACAATGCAAAACTCATATATTCGCAATACATATTAAAAAATCGATCGGCAAGCAATTTCCATGCATCTCCGAAACGAGGAAGAAAAAGAGAAACGCAGTGAAACGCGATAAATTGAATCGAAGACATTAGAATTGAACACGATAATAATAATAAAAAGAATACTGTAAAAGAGGAAGTAAAAGAAGGAGGTATAATGGAACGAGAGACCAAATACTCAACGTAGACCAGCCAAGAGTCGGAGTTTCGCTCATCCTCCAGATCGATACGGAATTCGTTTAGCCGGCAAATATCCCGGTGATGTATCGTCAAGCACGAGTAAAATGGCAGAAACGATGGCACACAATCGTACAACGTACGCCAAAAGGACAGCCAGGAAGCTGAATCTCACGTCGATGACGTTCCTTCCTTCCACCGTGGTCGCGGCAGCGATTAACGCCGAGACGACGACGACGTCACATCCGACTACCAATAATCCGTCCACGGTAGCAACGGGAGATCCCGGGACCACCGTCAAATCGCACCATCACGTCCAGAACGTGACGGAATACCTGGTCGAGCATGATGAGCTGGAGCACGGTAAGTACTGCGTTATTATAAAAGAAGGCATGAATGCTCGATGAAGGGCGCCCGGAATTTTAATTTAGTTATGCATTTTAAATAGTTGATCCAGCCCCGGGTAGCAAAATGATAAAATATATACATTTCTGGAATTGAATAATAATTCATTTTATTTAGCCGATATCTTTTTCTCGTGATGAGAATTTGACAGCGAGAGGAAATATTGTATTTAATCCCTCGAGAAATATATGTGACACATATGATATGAGATATGATATCTTTCTCTCTCGTATATTTCAGATTTATTAATTTTTGAATTTTTAATCCCTTTGTTTGGATACATATTTAATTTATTGTTAGTGAAAAATATCTCTCACGGAGACAATGAAAAAATTATAATTCTCATCCCGCGTTAGAGAGATACACCGGAGGTGGAAGCAAAACGTTGGCGCTGTAAGCTTTCTATTGTCATAGATTTATGCATTTACATCCGCGCTTTCATTAAAATACATATTATGCATACAAGCTTCACCGGTGTGACAATCGTAAAAATTTCATCACGGTCGCGCGGCCACGTTTCGCCACAGCTAGTAAAATAATCCAAGTTATTATCGTGTTTTCGCTTCAAGGATTTTTATGGTCATTATATATATTTCAGGTATCCTCGCCAACTTTTCGGACATGCAGACCGTTTTACTCGCATGCATATCGACATTATTACCGCTGATTATCGCCTTGGGAATTGCCTTTGGCGTCAGGTATGCTAACTTTGCTTATTGCGAAAGGGATCCGAAGCACTGACCGAGTTACTTTTTTTAATTGCGCGTGGTCAGCGTGGTGTGCGAGATTTTTCCCTTTTTTCTTTTTTCCCCTCTTTTCTTCTAACATGCATATGTGTGTTACTCGCAGGCATGTGTGGCAAAAGTATCGAAACACCGGCAACGGTTTAACTTGGGACAAGGACACGTGTCACCGCGGTGATATCGATGAGCCCCAACATCAGCATCCACATTCCGGAAATGCTCTCGGTCAGGCTGCCACGGAGGTTCTTTCCGTGCAGGACGTAAGTTAACGATTCTTTTTGACAATTCTCTCTCCTCAACGAAGAGCTTACATCATGGGCGTCCGTAGGATTTTTTTACGGAGAGGACATAATTACCATTTTTTTGTTTCTTATTTTTCCTCTTTTTTTCATTCTTTTATATTCATTTTTTATATTAAATCTATTTTTTATATCATATACTACATTTTATATTTAATATAATTTTATATTATATATATTAAATATATTTTATATTAAATTTATATTAAATATATATATATATATATATAAATTCCAGTGTTTATCGGTAACGTGTTAATTTTTTTTCCATTTTCCAAAGGGAGCAAGTACCTTTTTTACCCTCCTTGCTTCCTGCGGACGCTTATGACTTATAATGTATATAAATAAAAAAGCATCCAGATTACGCAAGAGATAGGGTGAAAAGTCGAGTAAAAGTCGCGCATTAAAATATAATAATATTAAATATATAAAATAAAATCATATTAAAATACATATGATAATATATATTATTATATTAACAAAGCATTTTCCGAAGTATATAGAGTTATACATATTCATATCGCGACCCATATTAATTATACAGTAATCGCGACTTTTCAAACTGTCACTCGAGAAAAGTTTCCTGACTGGTAATCCGAACAAGATTTTTTCACGATCTAAATCTCGCGCGAATATATGTACGAAACTCGACTTCACACGGAAGGAAATTACGAGCCGGCTTGATACGAGAGCCAGCGTTATGAACTTTAATACAATCAATATATATATATATATATATATATATATATATATATGCATATATATACATGTATATATGTGTACGAGGCTTGTTCGATCCTCGTATGCATGCTCGATTAGCTTACATAATACGGTAACCACGCAAATACCATCGGCCTTGGTTTAAATCTTGAAGCTGTGCCGTAATAGGATACACGGCGGACATTTACGGAACTCGGCCCAGATTATCGGCCGCGAAGCAACTTCCTGTGACTCTTTTTCTCGCGTCGTTCGAATTTTTTTTCTCCTTTATTACGGTCTCTCGCGCGCGATTCCGCCGAAAAAAATGCACGCGGCTCGAAGGAAGGATCCGCGCGCGCAAAAGCGAGGATCGAGGAGCCGAAATCTATGGCTACAGACGTACCGTTATAACGCTTTGCATTTAATAGCGATACATCGGCCGCGCCGCGTTGCGCTCATTCGTCTCGCTTAACCCTTTTCGCCGGTGGACTCTCCTTCCGGCTAACATAAGATCTCCGGCTGAAATACCGTAACGCGCGCGCGCGCAAGCTCATTTAAAATTCATACCTCTCGCATAATTAACTCGCGTTCGAAAAAGTTTGACCGAACAATTTCGCGAGCTCTAAATTAATGACAAAAGGAAAAAAAAAGATTAACGATAGAGTGAAAGACGACAAGTATATTTTTTTCGCATAAACGCTTCTCCAATTTCGTCATAAATTCCTTCAAATATATTCCGTCGTATTTGCAACCTTTGCATTTACGTCGGCGGAATTGCAACAATGGGCCGACGAGAGTTCACGCAGCGTGCACGTGGCCAATAAATTCGCGTTTACCGAGCTTACGGTTAGATAGAATCCATTAACTTTGCCCACCGATCGACGGTCGCGGGTGCATTATAGTATTGTTCGAACTGCACATATGCATGTATATGTATTTATTGTATGTACACGCCGCAAACAGCGCGTGTAGGCGAACGCAAGCAAGTTGCAACGCGCGTGCATTATATATCGCTGTATATATCTATGTATGTAGGCGCGAGCACACATTATTATTATTTACGCATGTGCGTATGTGACTCAGCCAAAAATACCGTACGTCTCGCTTGGCGCGAGAACTGACGGGTGGGATTGACCTGATTTTAATTTTCGCGTATACGCGCGAACGCGATGATAACGACCGCTTTAGCCCGAATTTGTCCCGCGACGCATAATTATCGCCAATTGTTTTCGTCCTATTCCAATATTGCCCCGGCGTGCGAATGCAAATTTGTCGACGCGCTAAGGTCAAGAAAGGAGAGTACATTCCATTATGTAGCCGATGTGTTTTAGCGCGCTGTTAGCTGCAACGAGAGAGATACACGGATATAACGCGATATATCGTGTAGAAAATAATCTATTACATCCAATGTGTTATGTTATTGATCATATAATTTTTGAAAATAATATATCAAAATTTTCCTCTCCCTCCAAAAAATGACGTTTTTTCAATCAAATAGAATATCTTACAGAAAATTTTTCTAATCGTATTAGGTTTTTATACGTATAGAAAAATTATATTTTAATTATTATTAATAATGGTAATAAATTTTACATAAATCTGAATTCTCTTAGAATTTACCCTGAAAATCATGGTAATCGTTGGGCAATAAGAATTTGGAAAAATTTTATAAGAGTTTCTCTGATTATTTAGCACAAGAAAAAATATTAATATGTACATAGTAAAATTAATCAAACATATCTTTTATCGTGGTATAGATGTTAATATTTTTATTATTCCACGATTTTCAGGATAAATTCTAAGAGAAAATTCTCTCTGTGATAAAAGCAGTATTTTTCTCTAACAAAATTTAAGACACTAGTAGAATCGACGTTCTTCTCCAAAATTGAAATTCAATTGCGCAAGTTGAGCAGAGAAATTAATTTTGCCATCGCGCAAAAAAGAAAATTGAACACTGCGTTGATCAAGAAAGCTTCGTCGACTAATGAAATAATATTATACGCGTCTTTCTTTCCGTTCGTTCTTAACCGGAGTCTGCGAAGCAAAAGGGCATAAGCGCAGACGTTGGTGAAAGTTGCATACGATGTGTGTTTGACTTTTGCAATTAAACCGGACCGGCTTTCCATGCGTGGCAATCCGTTTTTTTTTCCCGAGAGCGACGGTTTCATTAGTATCGCAGGTTGTCCGCCTCTCTAATTTCGTCTCCCGCTCGTCGCTTCTTTCGCTTACTTTCTAATAAAATTGCGGTCAATCATTTCCAGCTTTCGGATGCAGCAACGGGCGCGATTGTGCCCGTTTACACGACGTGTAAAATATAATATGTACCTTTGCAGTTTACAATATGTTTCTCCTTTGTACAAATGCACAATTATTGTAACATTGAGTATTTTGCACAATTATTGCAATATTAATTAAGCATTAACATATATATTATTTATTGATGCTCATTTGAAATGATGATTAAATCGAGCAAATTAAATCTAAATTAATGAATTATTTCGTAAAATTAAAGCGTTAAAAAAATTACAATGTAAAATTTCTTTCTTATTTTGCGCGCGAAATAAATAAACATTCGCGACTAATCGTATACTATAAATACGCCGATGTTATTTTCAATGAACAATCTTCAATGAAGTATACAGAAATACATGTAGAATCTCGGAATAATATTTCGGTAGAGTCTCTGCTTGGTCGAATAAAAAATTTATCCCGCGAATCAAGATTGAAACGTACATCGGGAACCGAGTAAAACAGACCAGCGAAACTTTCATTGATCACACGTGTCCCTACGGAATTAAATGCACTGGAGAACGACCAGAAGCAAAGCTGCGCAGCGAATGAACGATTCAAATTAATTCAGGCCGAACAGTTCTTCACAACGAAAGCGAGAGAGTAGATTTTCGAGTCGATGTTTTTAAAAGATTATACACGACATTGCAATTCCTTCATTTATTCACCGTTATTTTAAACTCTACGTTTTATTACAAGTTATATATATATATATATATATATATATATTTTTTTTTTAATAAAATGAGGGTGGTAAAGAGAACATGTTTCGTAATTTTAGAAGCCAAGTTTATATTCACATACAAATATCTCGATTTCTCGAAGCCTCTCAGATGTTGCAATTGCTACCGATGAACCAAAATTAATCGCAAACTTATTAGTGAAGAAATGCACAAACACAGAGCATTTATTTATTTAGATACATATAGATTCACTATATATTTCTATAGTCACTGATTGACGACGGTATTTTCATTTTGATGTGTTTCACATACATCACTGTATTTTACCATTTTGGTTTCAGCACCACGAAAGCTCACTTATTCCATTATGGGCACATTATCACAAAATTGTATAGTATCATTTAAGTTTCTATTAGGTAATTTACGCATGTGTAATGAGAAAATGCAATTTTGATAAAATTGTGAGAAAATATTTTTCAGATATAAAATAGGAAAAATTTCCAAATATGAAATGGAAAAAAATCAAACGTTTTTCCATTTCGATACACAAAAGAAATTCAATTTACCGTGAAATATATACACGAATTGTATCGCGAGATGGTTTTTCTACGAAACGAATTTCTACAACGCAAAAAGCAAGTGTAATAAAGAAAAGGACTTTTCGTATACTTTCGTAGCCTCGCGTATCGAAGTCGAAGAAAGGTGCTCTTAAAGAGAAAAAAAAAGAAAGAAAATAAAATTTAAATTACATTCCGAAATATCAAATTTCAAGCCGTACATAATGCGTTTCTCCGAGAACTCCGAAGCACTTCTCACTCGTTCGCGGGAGAACTCTCGGAAGAGTTTCGCGTTCCCTATTTTCCCGCAAACTCGCACTACAAATTTTCCGATAATAGTAGAGCCGCCAGCGGGCTCTCTCCCTTGTCTATGCCAGTCGCTAGTTGCCCGCGTAGTACTCGGTAGTGGGGGGCACGACGCGCCTTCTTAAAGCCTTGCGCTTTTTTCAAAAGCACCGCGCTGCCCCCACCACTAGACTTTTAGCCCCCACCCCAGTTCGCTCTAACGCTTATTGCGTATTCGCAAGGATGTGTGCGTGTTGTGTCCTCGCACCACCTATAAATCGCGCTTTCCCCTGCATTCCGCCCCATCCCGCGGTCACTCATTCTCTCTCTCTCTCTCTTTCTTTCCTTCTCTACCTCTCTACAGCTGTTCTCATGTGCAATCTTCTCTCTCTTCAAACACACACACACACACACATGTTTCATATGTACACTTATACTCGATGCACTC